CCTGGTGAGAGACATGGTCTCCTTGGGATGAAGAAGGGAACAGCCACTGTGCTCCCTAGAATCTCCCCCAGAAACTCAGAAAGGTGGGAGGCTGATGATCTGCCACCATCTAGGCCCTGGATACCCAGGCTGGGACATTCACATTAATGCTCAGTCACCTCTTTTCGAAGCCTAATCAAGGAGCCTGGGTGTCATTTCTTTAGCCTCTAGGACCTCTGCCCTGGAGCCACCCCCATCTCCTTCCAAGTTTCTTTCCTCTTACATCCCACATCTCTTTAAGATGAAAAACAAAGCCTAACGACTTGGCCTTATCTCTTCTCCTAGTGTTCCCAGGATCATCCCCTTCCTGCAAATCTGACCTTTGCCTCCTTCCTCCCTGCAGGGTGGCATGCCTGCTGGAAATGCTTTTCAGACTCTTCTGGGAATGTATACATGAATGACCTGCACAGGCAGCGACGGGGGGAAAATGCTGCCAGAGCTGCTGGGCCCAGGAAGCTAGGCTCAATTCGGGAACCTGGGAAGCATCACTGCCACCCTGGAGCACTCTGCCAGCAGTTCTCTGGTATGCAAGCACTGCAGTATTGCTTTCCAGAGGCTTGGAATCAAGGAGGTCCCAGAGCAGTCAGGGGCTTGTGATGGGAGGCCGGCCCAACCTTCACAGGGAGACTTACATTTTTCAGGGCTAGTTCCACATGTGACATGAGTTAAGCTACTGAGATTTTTAAATATATTCTACACCCCATACAGAAGTCAACTTACATGGACAATAAAATCCTTCCCAGTCCTGCCTTCAATAGTCATAACCAGAGGTAGCTGCTTCTAGGGAGGTCACAGATGGGATAATAACAGCTGAAAGGGATCAGGGCTAGGCATGTCCTCCTAGTGCTGGCCACTTTAGCAGAGAGCAGGAGGAAGCCCTGCACCAGACAACAGTTGCTGAGAGGGGGAGTGGGATCAGGGTAGACTCATTCATAAAACCTGCAACTGGGCAGCTTTCAACTGAGCAGGTGGATACTAACACTCACTGGGCAAACCCACTAATTTATTAGGAGGCCGAAGACTTCTGACCAGCCTAACAGGAGTCACTAAGTCTAAGCACAAAAGTCCATGAGGCCGGGTGTGGTGGCTCATGCCTGTAATCCCAGCAATTTGGGAGGCCAAAGCGAGTGGATCACTGGAGGCCAGGGGTTCGAGACCAGCCTGGCCAACAGAGTGAAACCCTACCTCTACTAAAAATACAAAAAAATTAGCCAGGCGTGGGGGCACATGCCGGTAGTCCCAGCTACATGGGAGGCTAAGGCATCAGGATCACTGGAACCTGGGAGGTGAGATTGCAGTGAGCCGAGATCACGCCACTGCACTCCAGCCTGGGTGACAGAGCAAGACTCCATCTCAAAAAACAAAAACAAACAAACAAAACAAAAGCCCAGGAATTCCTCTCCTGGGAGGTCCTCCCTCTCAGACCCTAGCCATACATGGGTTAGGCAAGTCTTAGAACGCTTGGGTCTTCTCCAATCTCATAAATTCTTAGCAATCCATAGACAGGCACCCTGAGAACAATGAGACAGCTTGGAAGTGAAGGGGGAGACAGAAATGGGACAGAACTAACAAGCACAGAGGCCCAAGCAAGTCATGGGAGCACCAGCGTGACAACTGATGTTACGGATGGTGCACCTGAGCTCACAAGAAGCTGGCACATAACTGGCTGACCATGAGCCCTGTTGGAAAAAACACGGACATCTCAAGAGCATCACCTGCCACACACCCCTGCCACCGACTCCTAGGCTTCTACAAACAGGAAGAAGCAGGCAATTTCCCCAGCAATTAAAGACACGCCAGTTACAATAAGAAAGTATCAATTTATAGCTATAAAGATCAATAAATAATGAAGCACGTTTCAAAACAAATGACCCAGGGCTGGCAGGGCCGCAGGCACACAGCAACACTCCTACGCTGTGGTGGTAATGGTTAACCAGGACCATCTTTGAAAAGCAAGGATATTGAGCCCCAAAAATGTCAGCCTTTGGCCTAGTCATCCCATTCCTGGTGATTTTAGCTAAATCCTGGGGACTCTGCTAAAAGGATTAATTAAAAAGAAAAGGGGAAGATCTTGAGAAAAAAGTCGTTTTATCAGTAAAATTTGTAATGGTTAAAAGCTAGGAAATAAAAACCATGTGTCCAACAATAAGGATGCTATGGTTTGACTATTTGTGCCCTACAAACTCGCATTGAAATTTAATCCCCAATGTGGCTGTATTAGGCAGTGGGACCTTTGAGACATGATTGGGTCAGGGTGTGGTGGCTCACGCCTGTAATCCCAGCACTTTGGGAGGCCAAGGCAGGTGGATCATCTAAGGTCAGGAGTTCAAGACCAGCTAGGGCAACACGGCAAAATCCCGTCTCCACTAAAAATACAAAAATTGAGCTGGGTGTGGTGGTGGGTGCCTGTAATCCCAGCTACTTGGGAGGCTGAGGCAGGAGAATAGCTTGAACCCAGGAGGCAAAGGCTGTAGTGAGCCAGGATCGTGCCATTGCACTCTAGCCTGGAGGACAGAGCGAGACTCTATCTCAAAGAAAGAGAAACGACTGGGTTATGAGGACTCTGTCCTTATGAATGGATTAATCCATTCATGCATTAGTGGATTAATAGGCTAATGGATTAATGAGTTATCATGGATGGAACTGGTAGCTATATAAGAAGAAGAAGAGAGAACTGAGATATCCCGCTCTGCCCCTCACCATGTGATGCACTGGGCTGCCTTGGGGGACTCTGTAGAGAGTCCCCATTAGCAAGAAGGTCCTAATCAAATGTGTACCCTCAATCTCAGACTCCTCAGCCTCCATAACTATAAGAAATAAATACCTTTTCCTTATAAATTAACCAGTTTCAGATATTCTATTACAAGCCACAGAAAATGGACTAAGACAAGGGAAATACTGGTGTGTAATTCAGTGAAACATTGTCAGTTAAAAGAGAAAAGCCAATTTTTAGAATTATGTTAACTGAGGGAAAAAGTAGAGCAGGAAATTATACAAGTACAATGATTGTATACAAATAGATAAAGATTGAGAGGAACCACAGAAAAACATAAATAGCTGCGTTTGGGTTGTAGGATTATAAATGTAATTTCTTTTCCATTCCGGCTTAGTTTTTTTTTCCCCCCCAAAATAGATTTTTAAGAAGTGGCTCGGCCTTTCCAGCAAGGTGCGCTTGTCACTCTCTGCTGGGAATCAGGATGCTGACTGCTGACCCTCAGCTTCTCTCTAGGTCAGGCAGGGCAGGCATCCAGTAATCCAACCAGCTGGGAGGTCCATGGGAGAAACATGGAGGACACTGGGAGCTAGTGAAGGGAAAAGCACAGGCAATTCTATACATTTAAACACTGAGATGGATAATTTAAGAATCAAATGCGAGAGTATGCAAATGCCCATCTGCTACTTAAATCTATATCCTGCCCATACCAGAGCATAGTTCTCAAATTAGAATGATCTCAAATGTCAGGTGGTCCACCCAGTCTGTAGGCAGGTTAAGGATGGCTGCCTGCTTTACAGATCAGATCTAAAGCTCAGGGGATTGAGGTGACTTGCCCAAGGGTACAAAATCAGGGATTCCTGAGAGATTCTATCACTCCCACTACCAGGAAGGTGCATACATGCTTATGAGCCTCAGAACATTCTTTTTTTTTCCCCGAGACGGAGTCTTGCTCTGTCACCCAGGCTGTAGTGCAGTGATGCAATCTTGGCTCACTGCAACCTCCGCCTCCCAGGTTCAAGCAATTCTCCTGCCTCAGCCTCCCAAGTAGCTGAGATTACAGACACCTGCCACCACGCCTGGCTTAATTTTTGTATTTTCATTAGAGATGGGGTTTCACCATGTTAGCCAGGCTGGTCTCAAACTCTGACCTCATGATCTGCCTGCCTTGGCCTCCCAAAGTGCTAGGATTACAGGTGTGAGCCACGGCACCAGGCCAGAACATTCTTTACATAGGCCTTGCTGCTTGTCTGGACACAGCCACTGTAACTTGTGCCACAACCCAACTCAAACTCTATTGTGTGTCAGAGCCCCACCTGCCCAGGAGGATACCAGGGTGGCCAGCTAACCCCTAGAGTCTTGGGCTCATCTATCCAAATTCCATCATACACTGTGAGGTCTTCCTCTGCTAAGCCAGCATAAGGCCAACCTGCCTCACACTCATAGCTGTCTGAACAAGCCGTGTGGACTCAAGTCCTGGTTCTGCCACTTCCTGGCTATAGGATCTTGTAAGTGACCTGGCCTGCCAGTGTTCTTGTCTGTAAAATGGGGATAATAAGAGTATCTGTGTGACAGCGTCGTTATGAGGATTAAACAAGGTACCGAGTACTTGACTTGCACAATGAATATAAAATAACCTGTCTGCATTAGTAAGACATTTCCCTCATCATAGTCTTTAAAGATTGAACAAGACGACAGATACAAAGCACCTAGCAAATTCTTGGCTTACAGTAGGACTCTCTAAATAATAGCTGTTATTATAACAATAAAGGTGTCAATCACAGCACAAATGCAGTGGACTTCCCCCTGGAAAGGGCTGGAGAAGGGCTTCACAGAGCCTGGAGATGTTTGTACTTCCCCTCTTCATAGTACACATCCCTCCCTGACAGCCTCCCCTGGCCCCACCCCATCCTCCATCCCCCTCACCCTCCCACATGCTTCTCCAGCCGGGAAAAGACCCCAGTGCAGTCATTTCTTTCCTTTGATCTCCAGGATCCAGTGAAAGCCAGACTTAGGCCATCGCCCTCTGCCCCTGCTACTCAGCAAACCTGCCCCTCCTTTGGCTCAGTTTCAGGAGGAGGATGGGGGTAACTCAGGCAGAGGAGATCTGCCCACCACTGACTTCACCTCCTCTGGGCTGAGCTTAGACCTGGTTGCTGCTGCCCCCTGGGGCCTGTGACTGGAGCTTCCACCGCCCTGCCTGCCCCTGCTGACCCCTAACCCTGTGGGTCCTGGGGACTCCACTCACAGCTCAAGGATGAGCACCACGTCGGTGCGGTTCTCGTAGACGTCGTGCAGCGTGATGACGTTGTGGTGCAGCACCTGCCGCAGGATGCTCACCTCCCGCTCGATCTCCTCCCGGCTCACACCGCGCCGGCTCGCCGGGCTCTGCCGCTTCTTGATGAACTTGGCTGCATACTCAAGCCCCGTGCTCTTCTCCCGGCACTTCTTCACGATGGCAAACTGGCCACTGTGGGGACACAGACCCACAAGATGAGGTCGTCACTGTGGTCACTGGGGAAGTGACCCCACTGTCAGCTACCAGGTCACACAAATTCAGAGTGATTCTGCCAGGACAGGACAAATCACGCCACCAGTCTGCATCCCCACCTGGATGACAACCTGTGGCTGAGATGTGGCAGGGACTGGGCTTCCCTTCTGTCCATTCCTTCTATGAGGAATGAATGTTAGTATTGTCAGTCCCAGTGTACAGAGGTGAACACTGAGGCCCAGAAAGGTTATTGATCAGGTGACACAGTCTTGTCATTGCAAAGTCTCAACTAGAACCCAAGTCTAGGATCCACCAGATGAAATCACAATGTCCATAAGCAGACTGGGCTGGTGGGGATCCAGGTTTGGGTGGAGTTTGGAGAGGAGAGGAGGCAACCTAACAAGGTTAATCACCATAGTGGGGGAGCATCACAGTCAGAGGACTTGGTATAAACAGAGAGTTGTACAATCAGGAAACTGAGGCATAAGGATAGGTCATGTGACTCACCTGAGGTCATCGCAGAGTTAATGGCAAAGCCACGCCTCAAAGTCAGATACCCAATCAGCTGTCCACAAAGCCTCTGAGATAGTTTAGAGCAGTCTAGACCACTATTAGTCCCCTTCAGGCACTAGCACCCAGGGCTGGGCTCAGAAACCCCTCACTCCAGGGACAGAGACAGCAACCATGAAATGGAGTCCATGGCAGAGCAGCAGGCAGCCCTGAGCCAGCTTCCCTGAGTGCTCCAGGGGTCCTCCCCACAGGGAAGGGCACCAACCACCTGCTTCTGCACCTCAGTTCAGTGACCAGCAGGAGCTGATCTAAGTCCCCAGAGACTTTCCAGTGGCCATCTTGCCCAGGGGTCCTCCCATCCCCTTACTGCCATTTGCCATCATTGTCCCACGTTTTCTTGCCACTCAAAATACCCACTGCTTAGGTAACTGAGAAAGTTTTCTAGTTCAGCTTAATGGCTTAATAAGAGGCCAGCAGACTCCAGACTTACGAGGTACACTCTTAGTGGCTCTGGGGTAAAAGCTACATACAAGGAAATGCTTTGGATATTTGCCCCAACCGGCAGAAAATAGCAAAATAGCACTGCATCTGGACCATTCCATCATTAGCATCATCCTCAGTGAGACAGTCTTCAAAATACCCAGAGTGGCAATAACAACAACGAAGTCAAGTTGAGCAAGCAACAGATAGATAGACTAACACTTACATAGCATTCTATGGCAGCCACTTCAGAGACGTTCCCAAACACAAACTCATGCATCTCTCCATCCCCTCAACCTCCATTTACTCAACACTGTCTGGGCATCCACTCTGTGCCAGGATCTGTGCTGGGCACTACTGGGCAGGGACCAAAGGCACAGACAATAGGTACAGATGGAGCTCTGGGGAGAGAGAAGACCCTGGGGGTGGGACTGGGCAGAGAATGCTTTGTGGAGCCAAATTTATCTTACATCGTCCACTGACTCTAAAGTTTCAGCTATTTCAGTTCCAAATATTGGCTCTGAAATGTCCACACACTAGGGGCTGACGCAGATGGAGTGGAGCCAGGCCTCCCAGAGCCAGAGTGAACACATTCAGTGTGATCTCTAACACATATGGTCTCTTGGAGCCACTCTGGACCTTGAGGACAGCGGGTGCCTTGGTAGGTGCCAACAAACACTTGACCGAACTTCCAGGCCAAGGTGGCTCTGAGTCTCAGTGTCAAGACAGCCACATGCCTCTCCTCTCCCTCTGACACCTCAAGTGGCCGCTGACAGGGCCTGGCATTTCAGAGTTCCTGTGACCTTGTCACAGAATTCCTGAGCTCCTACTTGACTGGTGGGGAAAGCAAAGCTTAAGGGTGGTAAAGGATACACTTAGGTTTACAGAGCACACAGGTGGTGGCGCAGGGCTTGGCTTGGCATCCAAATCCCCCAGCTCCCAGCCCCACACTGTGTTGACAGCCTTAGGACTTGTGAAGGGGCAGAAAAGCTTTTGCAAACTAGAGCCAGACATTTCAGGCCACCTTGACATTGTTTCCCCTTTGTCTTATGAGGGAAACAGAGGCATTTTTTTCCATATCGCATGCCTGAAAAATTCCCCAAACTCTCAAAAAGCAAATGAGTGTTTGCTTTCCTGCCTGAGTTTTCTCTCTGCAAGACAGCTGTGGCAACAAGTGGTGACTGCGGCAGGCCCACTGCACGGGCATCTTCCCCTCCCCAAATGGAGGCATTTTAAGAGTGGGTGACTAAGATGGCGCCGAATACCACACAACACCACTCATCTCACCTGTCTTCACTCAGGCACAGCCTTCTGCTCAACCTGTGGAGGGGAGCCTCAGAGGGAGCCAAGGCCGCTGGCTGGTGTCCCCCACTCCTTGGGCTGTTTCCAGAAGAGTGGAGAACACCCTCCACCAGACCCAGTCCCCAGGCTTCAAGGTCAGACAGGCCTGGCCTCAGGGACTTATGCTTTCACCTGCTGTAAACATAGATTTGCTCATCTGTCAAACAGGAATCAGGATTCCCTGCTAGAAAGTTGTGAAGACTGGAAATATTTGTAATGTTGGCCCATGGTACTCACAAGTGGTTCATACAAACGCTGAGCAAGAGACACCCAGAGATGTAAGTCACTGATTCAAATGGTCTGGAATGTGAAACCAGGGAATTGGTTTAATTTTATTTATTTTTAGAGATGGGGTCTGGCTCTGCTGCCCAGGCTGGAGTGCAGTGGTGTGATCATAACTCACTGCAGCCTCAAATTCCTGGGCTCAAGCAATCCTCCCAACCTCTGCCTCCCTAGTAGTTGGGACCACAGGTGCATGCCACACCACCCAGCTTCAGTTTAATTTTAAAAGCACCACCCTATCCCTCCCCCACTTCCCACCCCCAATGATTCCCATGCACAGTCAGATGTGAAAATATCTCTATTCCAAGCAATTAGCCAACTCCTTTAATCCTAGAGCAGTAGTTCTCAACCCAGGCCACACATTGATATTGCCTGGCGAATTTTAATATTCCTAGTGTTTAAGTCTCACCCTGAGAGATTCTGACCTCCTGGCTTTGGGCCTGAAGATGTGGGTTATTTAAAAGCCCGCTGGGTAACTGACATGCAGCCAGGGCTGAGAACCATTGACTTACGACAGCTTTCTGATTATCTCCATTTCACAAATGAAGAAACTACACCACTGTTACTCATACTAGTTCCTCCTTTTCAGTATTACACTTCCCCGTAGTTCTCTGATCTGATCACCTCAGGAAAGGAGTAAAGAAAGGGAATCAGAGGGGAGGGGTTGTCTCCCATCAGCATGATTTTTCCTTGAGGGCTTCACCAGTCTAACCGCTGTGTTATGAATCTGCAAATCAAGACAGATGATTACGCTAGCTTTTGGAGGAGAACAGGAGTGAAAATTTGTAGTCAGGCACTCCCTGCCCACCGTACTCAGCAGTCGCACAAAAGCAGAACCTGAGGTGGCTCTAGTATGCCCATCAGAGGGCCCAGCCAACCCAAGGGCAGGTGAAGACCGTGACAGCAACGGGCCCTTGTCTGCATACAGAAGGCTCTGCAGCCAGAAGCTGAGGCCCCACAGTGCAGAAGTCACCAGCTAGGCTACAGGGATGATGGGTGGGAGGCAAGGGCCTGTCCACTTTAGGACAGAGCCACCCAGAATGTCATCCAGGAAGGGAACAGAGGGGAGCAATTCAACCTCTAATGAAGGTCGTTGCTAACACTAAATCAAAAACGATGGGAATACTGGAACCTGGTATACACATGCAAAGCACACATATTCTAGTATCTCTGCCCCACCGTAGCAACAATCAATACCTATGCATGGTCTACTGCAGCACGGGCTGGTAGGAGGCCCGATTCCTGGTCCTAACCTGCTATCAAAGTTTCATGGGCTTGACAAGGAGCTGCCTTTTCAGTTCATGTTTCTCCATCTGCCACCTCAGGTCTCACCTTAGAAAGCTTCCTGTCAGAAAGCTCCAAAGAGCCTGGGACAACTCTAAACAGGAATGAAGCCCTTTCCCTTCACTCTCCAAATTCCTCTGGGCTGGTGTCAGGAGACTGGGAGTCTAGTCAGAGCCCTACCACTAACGAGCCAGGACCCTGGGCAGCCTGTTCAACTCCCCGGGCCTCAGTTTCCTTCTTCATCAAGTGGGGACAATAACACCTGCCCTGCCCACTTCCCAGGGTTGTTTGGGAAATCATGGGGTGATGTCTGAGATAGGACTTTACCATCCAACCTTGCAGAAGAGTATGAGGCGTGGGTAGGTGGGAACTCTGTGCCTGAGGCTGGCTTGCAAAAGTCACGTAGGATGGTTTCGTGAGGGACAGTAAATCCGCAAGATACAGAAAACATCCCGCTTCTGCCAGCACTCTCCTGCAATTCTGTCAGGAACACACTCCTCTTCCCAGGCAGAGGACTCAGCTCCGCACTCACTCAGCACCCGGGAGGATGAGTGGGCTGTGTCAACATCAATGTCACTGGCAGATGGGCCTCATTCCCAAACTTGTCAGGCCCCCAGGTGGCACCTCATAAGGGCTCTCTAGTTGTCTGCCCAGGACTCAAATGAAAACGGGTACAGCTAGAACAGCTTCTCAGTGCTCAGAAATGTCCCCAACCTTAGTTCTTAAGGTTCATGGAGGAGCCTGGCCTAATCCCCACCCCCCAAATTCTTCACTGTCAAGGGTGAATAACCAGGGCATGACCCAAATATCACACCATGGGATAGATCTTGTAAAGCAATGTAAACATTACAACATTTACATCCAGCTTGTCCAAGACGGAGTCTCCTCTGTTGCCCAGGATGGAGTGCAGTGGCACAATCTCAGCTCACTGCAAGCTCCACCTCCTGGGTTTAAGTGATTCTCCTGCCTCAGTCTCATGAGTAGCTTGAATTACAGGCACCCGCCATCATGGCTGGCTAATTT